GTTATATTCATATGGCATCGAGAGGTTGACAGTTCAAGCCTGTCCGGGGAAGTAAACACAAACAGCATCTTCATTTTTTGTTACTCTTCACCTGAGTCCTTTTTGACACCGGACGTTTTTTTATTTCCTTTTTTTTTATTTTTTTACTCCAATTCAAAGGAAGTTAATTGAATAACTCGAAGACATGTGGGGTCTGCAATAGGTTTACTATAGATTCAGCAATGAGGAAAGAAATTAGACTGGAAAACTGTATTCTCACTCGCGGAGGGCGAGATAATTTGATTTTTAAAGGGTTCCACACGTTCATCATCATGGCATGAGGTCTCGGTGTTGGTGATATTTCAGGGACAGTTTCGGCGAGACATTTACTTAAAAGAAACTCTTGTTTAAACTCCGCATAGATTGCATCAAAACAGCCCAGTAAGAGGGGTTCCTATGCATCATAATTGCGCCATATTTCAATATTGCACAACGACCTTTTTCGAATCATCAGTCCTTCAGTCCTTCAGTCCTCCACTGTTAGGATCGATTTGTTAAGCACCAGAAATCCGTGTCCCTTTGAGGTATATATCTGAGCTAAGATAGATTCGTATAATTTCAAATTATTAAATGCCTAGAAGTTTTCAGGGAAGATAGTTAGCTTTCTTTCCGAACCGACTATCCGTCTCACCAAAACCTGGACCGATCCGACTATCAATCGTTCGATTATGTGCCACAATACTACGTGTACGTCGAACCGGCCTCTTCAGGAACTTTACTGGGCCAGACGAATTAGGCCTCCAGAGGGTTTACTGCATAAATGCACGCTAGAAATATGTCTTGAAATAGGCGCTGCGTGCAGTTGTTGTAGCGAGATAGAAGGTGCGCATGTCGTGACACAATATACACACATAGTCAGTTTTCCTACTGCAAACCGCAAGTCCTAAGGTATTTTCAACATGCGCGAGGGAAAGGGAAGATACGAACCTAGTGAACCTAAATAACCTCGGAGGGGTAAAATATTTTTTCTTCTCCGCTTCCATGTCTCCATAAAAGAATAATATTCGCCGTAAGGAATAGAAATGCCTCCTTTGATTTTAGTTAAATCCAAAAAGAATTCGAATTTGGAAGTCTAAAACATCTATTCCAAAAAGTATACCAGCACAGAGAAAAATAAGATTTGCTTTCTCCGTTTGGTATGTTTGCTCTGTTCTAGAATGCAAAAAAAAAAATGTTTGTGACAGAAGTGGGACTTGAACCCACGCTCGTTTCCGAACCAGGAATTGATGTTAAGAGTAAGACCTTAACCTGGCGCCATAACCAACTCGGCCATCCTGCCATGGGAAAACATGGTGCTAAAATAATAATTAGTGCGGTATGACAAGCGCCAAGAAGAAGAAATTTTATCGGGCTTCATCCTGCGCTTTCGCACTGTACATGTTATCATTGAAACAAAGGGCCGCAAAGCGAATGTTGATATCACTGTTTTTGTAGCTGGTTTTGAGAAAACTTAAAGTGGATCTATAAAGATATATTACCCGTGTTGAATTTTAGGGGTAGTGATTGTTTCCACAGGATGTTATAGAACAAGTTCTGACCAGTTACATTCTTTGAGGGTTACATGTAGTTGACTTTTGTGATAACAGAGCTGCAACCAATCAAATCCCCGGAGTCGGCTGGCCTATAGCAGTAAAGGGTACAGAATTAATAGCATAACCCCAACTAAATAGGTGCTTTAAAGCACACAGTTCAACGACTACTATATATCGCCTACATTATATGACTTTATTCCCGTTCTGCAATACTAGTACTTGGATTCGACGGGTCCAATCCTTTCGGTAAAGGTTCCATGGCCATCATGAAGCTGTTGAAGTTATCTTGCCGGTGTCTATGACTTCACTGAAAGGTTTTTTTACCAGCTATATCAGGAAGTCGATTCACGAGAGATCATGAGATCTGACTTCTTGAAAGACCTCGGGGCAGGACATGATATGATGCATCTCGCTCGACTTCGTGAACCGCACTAAGGGACAATTCGGCCTACTATCTTTTCTAGCTAGCTAACTGATATCCTCGCGCTCCTTGAAAGTGGCAGAGGGGATGGAAGTCAGTAGTGACAGTGTACAGTACAGGTATATATTATATTTACCGTGGAACAACAGCCACCACAGATCGGCCGTCGATAGATGTCATAAATTCTTTTCAGAAGTGATCTTTGTGAATTAAGCAGTTAAAGTGAAGAACCACGCGAGAACGTAAATAACGTATTGTATCGTTGTCTATATTGTATGAACTGATGAGTACTTATAATTATGTATGTAGAAACAACGAGAGAGCAGGAGTACGAGACTCTCTCTTTTTAGAGTTACGGTTTTGGGAGCGTCAGGTTACCTCTGATTAAAGTTACAGATATATACAAGTAGTTTTGAACAATACTTATATATCCAGACTACATCCTAGTTAAAGCGTTCAACAAAGTACAACATTCACCACCACAATAATTTGCCACGATTAACAAACAATACTAGTAATCAATCAGCTAGCTTAGTAGGTAGCTAAATAGTTCAATTCGATCTACTTCATGCAATCCATCTACTTCCCTCCTCTTACGCCAAAAATCGCGGTTAAGACTGGCGCATGGTGTGAATGGGTGCGACATGGAATATCACTCGGCCGGTCCAGGTTTGCATGTCGCCCAGAGCGGAGGGGCGGAATATGGGGCGGGATCGATCGAGTATATGTAGGCTGCAGTCGGGCGTTGTGTACTGTGGCGTGATCATGGTCCCGTACCCCGCGCGCATCCTATTGTGCTCATTATGTGCATTTCACGCTGACTAATGCATACTAATTACCAACTTGAAAACATCTGAATTACTAGTTCGCCCCATAGCCTAGGCCTAGCTAGTCGGAACCAACCTACAACTACGCCAACCATGGGCAAATCTTTCAGTTCGGATCCCGGATCTTCGTCGGTGCTTCCACTTGTGGCTGGCTGCGCTGGGTTGGTAGCCGCTTTCAAAGGTTTTCATGCAATGACAAGGCTCTGGAATGGGTTGTTGACTAGTGAGGATCCATTCACTCACTAAATCCCAGAGCCTTGTACTTATAATTAAGCTATGAACACCATCTGCTTTAGTCCCGATTAAGATATTAACATGAATCCCCAGAGCTGCATTCTTCCCTCCCTATATCAAAGCTTCGTATAACTCATAACATATCATAGAGCTTGGTTTAATTCAAAAATCCCTTAGACATGGAATATCACTCGCATTCCGGAGTCGGGTGGGGGGTGGTTATTAGCAATAGGAATTGTTAAAGTAACGTATAGAAACCTACATACATACTAGAAACGATATAGAATTGGGTTCACTTAATTTCCAACCAAAACTAATTTTATCCACCGCTTGACGAGTTTCAATTAAAGTCAAACACACTTCTATTATCCCCAGAGAAAAGCCCCCTGTACGATTGGCTAAGGCTTAGATCCAAATGAGGGACTTAGGGCCACCCCGAATGCACCGGCTGCTAGCTTATATAGCTGCCTTGTGAAAATATTAGAATAGTAGGAAATAGTGCTGTGACAGAGTTCTCTCTTCTCTTCCAGATGACTTTATCGTGGATAAAAAGACTCTTCGGATGCTTTTTAACGTCCTGTAAAGCATTAAAATATCTTATAGTCCCACTTATAAGATTGGAGTCGACGGGTAGGTGCGACACAAGATATCACTCGGTCACCGGGTCGTCACTAGATCATTTGTTCCCGGTTCCACGCGGCAGTTATGACGAGCTACTATATGAGGAATAAGACTTCAGAGTAACTTACTACTATACATGCGTGTATCAAGTACTAGAAATAAGATTTTTTGCCACCACTAAGGAATCTCGCCGACCAGCTATGCATACATATTACCGATGGGCACAATACAAGACAATACGAGACTCTATAGAGAATATATACTTTTAGTCTTATACTTAACATTAGTCTTCATATTTTATGCCTTGGCGAAGTATCTAGATCTTTAACCGTGGCCACATTTTAAATGTCTACTGCCGCGCCGGCCGGGTTAGAGAGGGTTAGGGTTGTTGGATTATGGATTTTTATGTTTTCTTGAATATAAAACTTTACATGCATATACTCCCGCCTTGTAATCTCTAAGATTTTGAGACAAAGCCGGGTTTACCCCTTGCCCGCTACTATTACTAGCACTGATAGGTATGTAGCAGTGTAAGTTGAGTGATGTGGTGTGGGCTGGTGGGGAGGGAATATACAGGAGATAGGGTTTTTTCCCATAGTTGTGATTATGTTCATGTAGCTTTGGGATGTTTAGGCGGGGTGGGCAGAAGGTTTGGTCACTCTGGCTACATGTAGGTACTTTCCTTAGTGACAAGCGGTGGAGACATGGTGTATCACTCGGTACCTAATAGCATGAATACTAGAACGGAGTTTTGGGGTGCATTTTATTCGTGGAAATCAGGTTTAGAGACAAGTCAGATGGTGTACGCTATTCGGAGTCTTTCTGAGAGCCATAATACGTGCCCCTGGGCCTAGCGGGTGGAAAAAACGTGGTCTGGAGGCCAGGGCGGTTCGCCCTGGCCGCGTAAAAATATTTTCCCCTAACCGATAGTTTCCTACAGTACATATGCGACCCAAAAATCGCCTTGCATTCTTTTTCCTCCCCTCGTTCGGCTGGCAGGCTGGCAGACAGATGGGCAGCACCGCTCATCCCTATGGTTACAAAATAAGATAAAAAGATGAAGAAATAAATAAGTAGCTGGGACGCAATGCAGAAATTGGAAAGAGAAAAAAAAGAGAGAAAAGAGAAGAGAAGAAAATAAGATAAGAAATACCGAGTGAGAGAGAAAGGGTGGGGGGGGGGGGTTGATGGAAGATAGATGCATGGTGGTGAAATGAGGAAAGGCTAACGATCGAAAGTGCGTCGGGAAATAATATAACTGTAGACGACCAATTAAATCATTTCACACACAAACCCACACAAACTCGTAGCTGGTTTCATGAGATATCAGTAGTCTTCCTCATCTGTGTCAATGAATCCGTTGAGCTTTCTGCTTCTTTTGATTTCCGCAATCTGCAGTCATGTTAGGCCTAGCTTCGTGAAACACGATATATGAGTTCAAACTGACCTCTAAATCTGCCTGCCTTGAAAGCAATACCTCTTCGTCGGTGGGAACACTCGGGTTTTTCTCTTTCCACTCCTTCTTAAACTTTGCGGCTGCCTTGTCGTACTCACTCAGCTTCTTTTTAAACTCTGTAACGCTCGCTGCGTTGCTCTTTTTATTGCTCTCTGTCTCGTTTAAGTAAGGCCTCTTCTCATCCTCTGGAGCATCTCGCCACATCTGACCCAATGCCGCACGGACTTCATTCCTTGTTGCTTTAGCTTCGGCATTGTTTGTACTCTTTCGTCGCGCTTCATCACACTTGGCTTTGCAGATAAACCAATGATCCTTCTGATACAGCAAGAAAGGGTTTGCTCCTGACCGACCAGGCTTAGTGGGTCGCTCGCCAAGTGCTTCGTGGAGTGCCTGTTTTAGCTTCTCTTCGTATTTCTCTAACCGCGCTGATTTCAGTTCTCGCGCTTTTTCGATGACCGAGTCCTCGGCCTTTCTCTTGGAACCGGCTAATGAGCCATATGAACCCTGGAACTTTGGCTTCGGCGGGATGAGTGGTGATGGTACGTGTATGGGCCCTAGAATAGACTCTGCAATTTCACTCGCGGCATGAAGGCCGCTAATATAAGCACCATGTACTGTCGCAGGGTACGACTTGCAAGACGCTTCTCCGGCAAAATAGAGAGAGTTTCCGACAGGCTTCGCCATGAGATCATAGTCATCCGCAGTGGCTTCAGGTCCCACATACGAGTAGGAGCCTCGTGAGTATGGGTCTTTCTTCCATCGTGTAATAATGGTTTCTGTGGGCTGTGGAACGTTCTTGGCGGGATACATTTTTGAGAGGTAGAAGGTAGCTTCTTTGACAAGCACCTCGTCTGATTCGAGTTCTGTTTGCATTGCAGCTTCGCCGGCCATGAGGGCCACTGGATAGATTTATTAGCAGATGCGAAATATGTTTCTGATTAGAAAAGTACCTAAGGTGGGCTTTCCGCTGGCTTTCGTGCAATTCCAGAACATATAGAATCGTCCTCTATTCGCCTCGTAGCTTTCCTGAATCTCGGGAGGACCCATTGGGTCCCTTAGCAAGCCAACCATGTCATTATCTACGTCCCAGAAAGGCTCATCATATACCAAAATCACCTGTGTCCTCAATTAGTATTCTTTCTGGACGCTTGATGTCGCCCATTAAGGTTCCAATGTACAGACCTTATTCAGCAATCCATACCCCAATCTCTCGATCGCACCACTCTTCCATTCTGGGAGCGCCGGTTCAAACTTCACTTGTTCTGCTTTCAAAACTCCCAATGGTAACGTGACAACAACCTTATCCGCATGGAAGACTTGTTCATTTTCACATTCAATCGTGGCACCTCCATGAACATTCCCATCTGCAGTATATGTGATCTTTCTGACTACATGTCGTGTTCGAATATCCAATTTACTAGGGCTGAGCCACAGGCCTCTCGGAAGCTGGGTGTAACCACCCAACAGCATAGCATGCGCTCCGCTAAAGTCATTCCCGTCATCTTGATCCCAATGACCAAGGGATAGTGAGTCAACATTGGAGGCATTCGCATATTCTAAGTTTGCATAGTGCCAGTTCATGAGTCTAAGGTCCTGGGGGGTGATATCGATAATATTTTGATATTGCCGTAGTACAGAATCCATTGTCTTCCCGAGTGTTGGATGCCGTGAATCGGTGCCATGAGGCTCAAGAGTGATTGTCTCCCCGCCAGTGGTTCCCGGTTTCAGCTGCCAACCAATTTTTCTGGCCTGCTCGGCTGCGGGGATTTTGGCACTTGAGCCGGTGGCCGTGGAAGGCTTTCCTGTAAGTTTGTCGACATTGGCAGAGAAGTTCTCGTCTGTAGCGCTATAGACGGATGGCAAATCTACTTCATTATTCTCTACCTTAGAGATCATTTCACCACCTTCGCCGGTTGGGTCCTTCCCGGTATCGATGAGTTCCCGATCACCCTCGACTGTTTTCTGTGTGACAATTTTATTTTTAAAAGTTGACACCCGATCCAGAATATCATTGTAGAGGCGTTCCACCAAAGTATCTCGATCCTTATCGACGGGAACACCATTGGAATCATGCAGGGATGAGTTATCTTGTAGACTATGGTAATGTAGTGCCAACTGTCCTCGAATCAACACACCGAGTGGATTTCCATTATCGAACCCTGTGATAACCTGTGCTCCCAGATCTGCAGTAGCCCGCTTCCCCTCCGGGAGATTCGCACCATACTGATTCTTTAAAGGATGTGAATAGACTCTTCCTCCCAGTCTCCCTCTAGCCTCCAAGACAATAATGTTCGGGGGTGCTTCCCCGGCAGGCAGCCTATCCCCGAATTGTGAAAATAACCCTTCTAGCTGTCTTGCGCACCCTAATCCGGACATCCCCGCGCCGATAACAACAATAGTCTTTCTTCGAGCCTTTGCCGTATTTAGAGATGGTTGGATTGTATTTGGAACCTCGATACATCCAAAATTAACATACCCGTGCCGTACTAACCACTCGTATGCCACCTCTGCTACATCAAAAAAACGATAATCCTTTGCGCAACCGGCAGCCTCTTCCCTAGTAACGCTTACAAGAGGATTCCGCTGCCATAACCGCAGGATGCCATTTCGGATGTGGATATAGGTTGTTACTTGAATATGGTTGATATGGTCTTTGAGTATGAGATACTCGTTGGGGTGTAGGGCATAGGGGGGTAGACGACTAGCAATGGCAGCCTGAATACATTGCCGGGCATATTCTTCCGCTGTCAGATCTTGTGGTATGGCGGTTTTAGGTCGGAAATCGGCTCGTCCTTTCGTTAGAGTCCGATCCGGGACAGTTCGTACAGTTGGCGTCGAAAGTACCTTTGAAGATATCGCTGGGTCAAGATCCATAGGAGTCGAGGTATCGAGAGATTGAGGGGATGACAGATTCGAAGATTCCGCGGAGATGCCATGTGGTCCCGGGGGAGCGACTCTATGTGCCCCAGTGATAATTTGAGGGCGCTGGTGTTGTTGCTGCTGTGCCTGTTGCTGTTGCTGTTGCTGTTGTTGCTGCTGCTGCTGCTGAGCTTGTTCTTCAGCTTGTTGTTGATGCGCTTGATGCTGTTGAATCTGCTGTTGTTGAGCGTATTGCGGATGGACAGCATGTTGTTGTACATGCTGAATCATTCCTGGACTCTGAACCATATTTCCCTGAGCCAATGCCCCGGCTGCAACCTGCTGTTGTCCCCTTTGCTGCATTGCGAGTAGTTGAACCTGCTGTGCTTGCTGCTGTTGTTGTGCCTGTTGCTGCTGATTCTGGTACTGAATATGATGGCCAAACAGCTGTTGAAAACCAACAACGTTTCCTCCAGCGGTGTCCATCAAAGCCTGTTGCCATTGCTCTGGTGTAGGGGTAGGATATCCTGTCGCTCCTTGTACATAACCTTGTTGTGGGTAGTATTGCTGAGGTTGTTGCTGCTGCTGCTGGTCAGTCATGTAGAACATGGGATCTACTAGACTGTGCGCTGCTGCTGCTTGCTGTTGCGATGTCGTTCCATGGGGACTGTAGGGAGCTTGTTGTTGAGCATGGGCAGCAGTCGCGAGAGAGTCCATATTCCCCATAGCCTCGAAGTAATTCGCACTGGTTGCGGCGCCATTGGGATCCATCGAGCCGGCGCCGTGCGAATTGTCCTGGCCGGGATCAGCCATTCCCCCCTCACTCTTTTTTTTAAACAAAAATGAAAGCCTCAGTTATTAGCCAGGGTTCTATTTTTTTGCCCTATCCTCCTTACAGTTCTGCTGTTATGTCACTCTGAAAGTTATTTGTTTTTTTGGTTATATCAGATTTGGAGCGTTGACTTTCTGAGTTTCTTCCAGCCCCGGCCTGTCTCTCTCAGTCTTTGCGTTCGGTTCCGCTGCTAACCAGAAGGCAACCAGACGCGACGCGAGTGGTTTTGTGCGATATGTATAAGGAGGCGTGAACCCGCTGCGACAATGGAGAGCGAAGCGCGAGCTATCGGGTGGAACTTTTAGAAGGAGATAGAGACGAGGTTGATAATAACAGACGGAAAGCCCAGGGAGAACCGTACGTTCAGGTTGGGGGTCGTAAGGCGCTCGCTGACTGAAGCGGCGTTCCAAGCAAAGACGACGACCGACGGCACCGTGGCTTACACACCCAATCAAAGTGTCGAAGGAAGATCCTCCGCCACACAAACGCCTGTAGGATGTGGGCGCCCAGAGAACAAGCGAGCAATTGAGCACCGAATCAGAAGGATTGCAGGCTGAATACAGTAGCGTTAAGTTTCTTTCCGTATGCGTCTCTTTCACCGTGGCAGAAGAGTGATTCACAAATGTTATTTCCTCTTTCTTCTTTCTTTTGACGTTGGCTAGAGATTTTCCTTCATGCGGTACGACGGGAGCAGGGATGATGTAAGTTTCTCTTGGCGAAATATCACGTGATATCAATATGCCTAGTCACAATAGATCACTCGCTGGGGGTTGGGTGTCGCACGCAAGATTTCAGCTCCGAGGGGTTGATGCTTAACGAGGAAAGAGTTATAAGGATGTTGTAGCTAGTTAGTATAATATAGTGTTTTTTTTTTGATGATATTTTGTTGCTCTAGGAAAACTTAAGTTACTTCTATAGTCACCATCAGGTGCGCGAGGGTCTTAATTGGGATTTTAGGCGGAACCCAGGTTTCGAAATCTCACTACGTTTTGCCAGTATTCCTAGATAAAGCAGCATGCATTCTGTGGGGTGGTACAATCGCATAAAACAAAAGGAAAACCTATGGGGCTAGCATATATGTAGCTACCACCCGTGGGCCCTATACGAGGGGCACTTTCTCCGCCTGCGTATCCGTTAGTATTTTTAATTATCTGTTCACAAACAGAGCGCCGCGGTCGCACTATTTTTGGTGCTCGAAAACGGGCTGGATTGAGTCAAAACGGCAATGATGTTTTCTCTAGCTATGTAATTTGAATCTACTACAGCATAGCGTAATTTGTGGCGTCAACAAATATATCGAGAAAAATATGCGTATGTCCTATGTAGTCGACGTATGTGGTCTTTTTTTGTTTTTTGTTTAATTCATTAATTGCATGCAAGACGTATGTGGTCTTTTTTGTTAGACGTATGTGGTCGATCAATATACTAAATATTAAATACTTAGTAATATGCATCTACCCCCGCACATCATGTATATATGAGCGCATCGCAACCAACCACCATACTTAAAAATATTTGAGTTGATTTAGGACTAGAGTAGATATAATTTTTCGAATAAGAACTTTATCTACAGAGGTTTAGCCCTATATCAGTCACAAAGAGTTGGTTCGTCAAAGGCCATTAATGATTGAAGCGCCGCAACTGTTACACAGTGTCATCAGTTGTACTGTACTATTTATCACTACGGATATAGCGGTAGGCTTTTTATTCAATCCTCTTTAATGGGGTGTTCGATCAGCTCCAAATAACCATACCTCGAAACTCCAGTTAGAATAACATCTCCCTGTTCTAGCCATGCATATGTGCCTTCCTATAAAATTAGGACGGTGTTAATTCTTTATGGCACTACATATACATGTAGCCTAGAGACACGAGAAGTCCGAAGTACACGTGGTCTGTATTTCGTGCGGAGCGGAGTATATATGTCCTCAAAGTTAAGTGTCGTACGGCATACGTGACTGTCTCAACCATATTACAACTGTGTAATCGATACATGTATTTGGGTGCAACCGAACGGGCCTAGGTGGCTTAGCAATTCTGTCCTCGATAATGACATATAAAGCTAGAGATTCTCGCAGTCCTTTAGTACATTATGATCTCCCCTCTCGTCAAATATTTTCATCTCGTCATAGCGATCGGAATACACGACGCGTACCTTAAGGTACCTACCACCTATACATGTACTATATATGGACCTTATATGGAAAAGCATAGTCAAATCTGTCGCATTTGTATATGCGGGGTGGATATATTTCTTCCGAGAACTCCTTAATGTCATTCACCATCAGCCCACTGCCAAAATATCGTCACCGTGGGGACTCTCACTTTATCGATGAGGGAGCTAAATGAGCGCTATGCAGTATAGCCCATGACGATTTATCTCGTCTTGTAGGGCGACTGCACTGGCTGTTCTAAACAAATCATAGGTACGAGGTGTCTGAATGGCTATATAAACCCGTCCATCTCGCTTGCCTTCAACTAATTCCTACAGACAATACATATCCCTCTTTATACCCTCAATTCCGGCTCGGCGTTTCATTTCGATCTCACCAACCAAGATGAAATTCAACATTGTGCTGTTATTTTTAGGGTTCCTGATAACCTTCACACTCCAAGCGCCTTTACGATGTCTTGAAAAGAGTAGATATTACCATCTTTACAATAACGTAATACTATACTGATATCTTCCAGGGGGCGAGGATTACCTCTCTCCAGTTTTCAGAAAGCCTTCCATACTCAATGGTTTGGCTAACCACGTGGACGAAACACCTCTAGACCTTTCAGAGGATTATGGTCTTGACGGTGGATCAGACAAAGCTGACAAAGGCAAAGCCACAGTCTTTCCAAAGGCAATCCCTTCGGCTCCATGGCCCTTCGGCAGGGGTTTGGAGCCAGTATGGGAGGGCCCGAGAAACTTTTTAGGCCCAAATCCAGAGTGGAGCATTTGGGAAGAGGAGCTGGATACACCACCAGGCTCCCTGTTTCCAAAGCCTATCGCCGGGGAAGGCGCATGGGCTCCGTTGGGCTCCGTTGGCAATTTGGTGGACAGTATGCCAGTTGCAGAGGATGATGGAATATTAGCTGAACACGAAGCATGCCCAACCTGTGGACGTAAACCATCGGGCAAGTCTTTGATTTTTTTTATATCAGTGTTGGATGCTAATTACTGAGATAGCTTGGGAAAAGCTAGTCAAATGGGTTAAGGGTGCCTGGAAGAAGGTAACGGGTATCTTCAAGAAAAAGGAAAAAGCGGCAACAATATGAGGGAGTGGAAGAAGATGACCAAAATAAAATACAGAAACAATAATACCCGGAAGCAAGCGTAGAAGGAAGCGTAAGTTGTATGCATGGGATGATGTAATTTTCGAATAGAAAGACGAGGAATCAGGATAGATAAATAAATATTTTAATATTTACAAATACCAATCTGGATTTAGCAAAGTCTGAAATATTGCAATACGCCCTATGGCTTGGCGCATGAAATTATGAAACCTACATAGTTTGCCATCAGTACTCCCATGAAACCATCTCTTTACAGAGAATTGAGGGTGTAAAATGTGATAAATCCCAGTACAGTATCTGTTTACGCCGTTTTCAAAGGACAGAGTGGTTATATTCTGTGCACACCCATAGGGTTTCTAACTGTCTATCATGCTATTTGAGCTCAAGAAGTCAATAAGAATTTGAGGTGAGACGACTGTAGGAATGTCATGCATATGCATAACCTGTTGAATTCCGAGTGTATTCATAAACGAGAGCATATATATGGCTCTTCAATGACCTGTTATTACGGTGCTGGAGAAAGAGAAAAAGGAGAAGAATTAAGAAGCTAAGAAGCTAAGAAAGAGAGGGACTCTTTTCCGGCCTCAACCTGAACTTGATTTGATCCGTGCGGTACATACCCCCCTTTGGACCATGGTAATATTGCATGCAGGCGAAGCATACGGTTGATCTAGAAGTTATTCTACTGATCGGGTTTTCAACGGCAACCCCTGGGCGCCGGGCGCCATACCCTACTGTGAAACACAAAGACGTCACTGTAGCCCCCTAGCGTCGACCCACGAACCAGGTACAACAGGCGGGAGCGGGAACGGGCACTAGTGGAGGGTGCCGTTGCTATTTAGGTTGGGTACATGTAGATACATCATGTAAAGATATGTTGATATTCACAGGCGGTACATGTACAGAAGATAGTGTCTGGGAATTACTAGTATTTACAGGAGCGCAAATATATGGAGATGGATAGGGTACGAGGAGTGAGAAAACTGAGTCGCCATAGACAGATGAGTAATACAGGAAGAACGAAGAAAATAATACTAGACAGCTAGCTATAAGAGTAGAACACGCACAGAAAAAGAAAAGAGAGAGGGAGGGAGAAAGCCAGCAAGAAGAGAGAGGAAAAATGCTATCGAATCTCTGCATGCCAAATGAAGAATTTCGGGTTAATTGAAAAGTATAGTTGAAAAGAAAAGAAAGAAAGAAAATCGTGAGTATGTGCCCATTTTCTTTTAATCTCTTATCCCTATCTACTAAAAACCTGCTTCTTAGAATCATTCATTTCGTTGCCCGTTTCCGTTTGCTTCGTTTATCCGTTATCCTTGAGCGCCTATAGTGGTATAAGGAAAAAAAGATTCATCCCTCCGTTGCGTTTCGTGAAGAGTGGCTACTGAACGTTCGCCTGGAAATTCTTGGGGCGCCTGTAAAATAAAAGTCAGCAACTTAAACTAGAAATCGCCAAAAAGGAAAAAAAGAAAATGGGCGAACGCAAAATAAATTACGATCGGGGAATGGGCACGAACTTGAAGAGGAGGATGTGCGGCTCAGGCGCATGAATCTCATAGTGCTGCCATCCCAAGCTCTGAGTGATACCGAGACCCCTCCATTCCTCTTCGTGGAGGATCTTAAGGGTTCCGGTCTCGACGTCGAAATAGTCCTTCGGGATCGCTTTAAGCATCTGCTTGGGAAGCATGACATGCCTGTTCAATAGGTTAGCTTCACAGTTTGTATTGGAGGAGCTTCTAATGGCGACGTATGTACGCACCTGTACTCGTAAGTCTTGTCGGAGTAGCTATCAAGGTGTCAGTTTAGGTTAAGCTTGAGGGGGGTATGTGGGGATTACCGGTCGGAGTAATGGATCAGATCGATAAACTCGTCAAGGCGCTCTCTCTCGGATTCAGAGAGCATGCGCGGGCGACGATTGCGGGAACTAGAGCCTTTCTCCATGGTATACTTGTAGTAAGTGTGATTGGGGTGGAAGGGTTACGACGACGAAGCTAGGTGGTGGTGCCTGAGAGTTATCAGCGCACAGTTGGAGATTGTTAATCTTTTGCGCAGAAAAGGATGCGAAGGCGGCGGGGCGGGTGGGTTAATAAAGTAGTGGGGTGGGTGTGGAGTGATTTGAATGGGGAAGGAGAGGGTTAGGGGCAAATACGTGCGGCGTGTGCGGGGGGCGGTTAGGAGGGCGGCCCAGGAGGAATGGTTTCAGAAAGGGACGGCCAAACGCGTGATTTGCCTACCTATTTGTGTTCTCTTCGGTTTTGGTGTTAGTCGGAGAATCTCAATGGGGGCTGGCTGGCTGGGAGCGCGGCTCTGTTCTGTTGTTGTTGCGACGATGGCAACCAACGTTTTTTTTTGTTTTAACGAAAGGGGATGGGATGTGTGCTGAGAACGACAACGACAGCTGACAAACACTGTATGTACTAGTATGGCTCTGCGAACAGAATTTCGTAGATGTTGTGAGGAAGGGGATCGTGGACGATAGGGAGCAAAGGCGATAGTTAAGTAGCAGAGTCCCTGAGCGTCAACTCGTCAAGTCAGCGCCGCCTCTCTTGTTTACTTTCAAAATGGGCTAAAGTTGCGCCTACATCATAAAGATACACAAACTACATAGCCCTAGAGTACAATAAAGCTCTAGATGATAATACAGATTGGGTGCAGGGCCACTGTCATCGTTACCTGAAACGCCTTAATCGTCGTCTGACTGCTGTTACCTACTCACTCGCATACTCCCCTACATGGAGGAGAATGTTCACCTCTCACCTCTGTTCTTATGCGATGTGTGGCTTGTAGATATATGGGATGGTTTGGAGGCAATTCACAACATCACATGACCCTCTCCAACCACAATTCCATACAATCCCTTTGTAATCTCCCATCAATCCCCCCATTCTCGAAACGAGAGCTCGCCTAGATCCAGAGTGTGTGGCTTTCCTCCCGTTCGTTGACGTTCAGCGACCGACTTCAAAGCAAAGGAAAAAAAAAAAGAATCCCTCCCCGCCCGCCTTACCTGTGAAATCGCTCGCCGCCGTTTTTCCACCCCATCACGCTTGTTGCTATTGAAAAGGTCCTTCTAACTGCACTAAAAAAAAAACGAGCAATTATCAAAAAAAAAATATTGATTTTTTTAAAACGAAAAAAAAAAAAAAGTATTGGGCGCGCATCGCTTTTGGTCAACCTAACCCAGCTCACACTAAGCCAGTCAGTTCAGTCGCGAAGTCGCGTTTCCCCCAACAGCAGCGCCCGCCCCGACTTCAACAAAGCACTCCCTCAACTCTATTTTTCTCCTCTCCGCCCAGCGCGCGAAAAGAAAAAAAGATAGAAGAGATGGATAAGCGCAAAGCTGCTCATATACAAGCAACCGCCTCCTCGCCCACACCCGACGTTGATGATCGAGCGAGGAAACGAAGAAAGCAATCTGTAAGTTTCTGTGTTCTTGTTTGGTGGGGGATGCCGGGGAGGTAAAGGAAGGAAGAAAGGATAGGAGAGGAAACGCGACCTTGGGATAGCTATCAATCAACCTTTCTCGCGTGGTTTCTGGCTATCCCTGATCATGAGGCTCAGCTATTATCTATCTGACTACCTACCTGCCTCCCCCCCTCCCCCCCTTCTACCCCACTGCGATGCGATATAGGTAGCTCTTCTTTAGCTAACGGGATATAAGACTGTTCAGCAGAATGGGTCTGATTGTACGGGAAAGTCTGCACAGGCTTTGGGCCAAGGTTTGCTGGATGCGATTATGAACCATCAGGAGAGGTAGGTTGTGATATATATCCTATTATTACACTGCTATACTAGTAGTAGTTGCAGCAACTGTAGCATTAGTAGTACTGGTAGCAGTTGTAGTTGCTCTAATACGCTCAACTCAACCCGAACTCATCTCATCCGATCTTGTTCTCCCAATACTACACCCTACAAAAATAGCTTCCGTCGAATGAAATGCTAACCATAATGTTTCTCCCAGGAATCGACACATCCGTCAACATTTCGAGAAGCTCCCCAACCAAGTAAACGAGCTCTTCATGCCCCCGATTTTGTTCCCCTCCACTAACACCCACTGCAGGCGGATTATCCTGACTATTACCAAAAAATAAAAAACCCAATCTCCCTCCATGAAATCCAGGTCCGTCCATAAATCCACACCCTCCCAATCTTTCTGCCCCACTCACGTTCGCTAGACCAAGCTCAATAACAATCATTACGCTACACTGCAAGATGTTGAGGCCGACCTTCTACTCATGTGTCAAAATGCCGCCACATACAATAAGCCCAAGAGCCAGGTTCACAGCGATTCTATCCGAGTTAAAAATGTCATTGATGCATATATGGTGGAAGTCTCAAAGTCAAAGGAGGCAAAGAAAGAGGCCGAAAATACACCAGCGGGTAGAGCGATCAGAGGTAGGGGGACCCAGACGCTGCAGCAGGCAATGATGGGTGTTGTTGAGGATATGATGGCCTTGGTGGACGAAGCGTGAGTTTGACTTCTTTGGTGGTTTGCACTGGAGAGGGAAATGTCCAATTCCTCCCAACAGGAACTAACTGTTAAGTTTAGAGGCGAGCCCGTGGCCCACTATTTCCTCAATCTCCCTAGCAAAAAGCTTTATGGCGAATATTTTCGCATCATCAAACAACCGATCTCACTCAATATGATCAAAAAGAAGGTTACACAGGGCGAGTACACCAGATGGGTCGATTTTGAGAATGCAGTCGCATTGATCAAGAAGAACGCTGAGGAGTTCAACGACGAGGGAAGCGATATTGTTAAGGATGCGCGCAAGTTAAATGTAAGTTGGGGCTTTTAGTCATAGTCGGAAATGGGAGATGGTGGGGCTGATGGTATTGTGGACGTAGACATACTTCGTAAAGCGCCTAGCAGAAGGAAAGGCAAAGGTTGGAGACGCTCCAAGCGCAACAAACGGCGCTCCCAGCGGTATAAAACTGCGCATAAATGTTGGAGGTCACCGCGCCCAATCACCACAGAAGTCACATGCACAAGAGACATCAGGGCCGAAAATTAGACTCAATGTCGGAAAGACAGCCGCTGCACAGCAAACACCCAAAGTCAGGGCTCCGTCAAGCTCCCCGGCGGCGCCATCTGTGTCGCCTATCACCAATGGCAACTCTGCGTCAAGCAGTCCGTCAAAACAAACGAGCAATGGAAATGTATCGCCTAAGAAAGCACCCAGCCCTCCTACGCCCACCCCTGTTGTCCTCCCACCCCCCGTAGTCCCAGTGGCAGCTCCGACCCCAACTGTCCCCGTTGCCGCGACATCATTACCAGTCGGGGGGTTGGCCCCCATACCAGTTAGAATAACTAGGTCCCGGACTCCCGAGAAACCGGAGTTGGGGCGGTCGGGTTCTCCACATAATGAAACTATTACACTTCGTGCGAATTCCATGACACGGACACCAAGGTCCCAACAGATGAGCCCTCCAGCTCCGGGATCAATGCCCCCGCCTCCGCAGAGATTGAGTACCACACCGGCACCACAGAGCCCAACACCGTTGAATGTTCCGGTTCCGGCACCACCGACTCATCGTTTGGGGAGCTATGATGAGCCAAAGTATCGTGCCGAGGGGAAAGGTAAGGAATTCACTTATCACATGTTTTTGCCGCTTAACTAATTGCCCGCAATATAGACGCTTTGAGTGCGCTGATTACAAACCTTCGTGTTACATCGGTATCAGCGACCTCTGGGGAGGTCAAGTATACGAGAGACTTCTCCCCCGATAATCATAAGTTGACTTCCCAGTTCTTTATACATCTTCCGGCGGATTGTCAAGCTATTGTAATCACGCCCACGCTCTCTACTGGCCTTTCGGGTCGGCAACATAAATTTAATGTGGAGCACAGAGTGAACAACAACGCTGCCAAGCAGATCCCTGTGTGGAACACGCAGCTCAAAAAGAAGGAGGAGCTTGCCTATGAAGTGAGACTCAACCCAGGCGCAGTCAATACCATTGATTGTGCGGCCATCGCAGCAGCAAGAAGTGGGATGGTCAATGGTAGTGGAGGGGGTGGGAGCCCAGCGGGCATGTGGGAGTTAGAGAGATTTCGGTTGTTTGTCAGCTTGCTGCCTAATTAGCTTTTCTCTTTTTGTCTTTATTCTCTTTCCAGGCTCCGCTGGTTAAATTTCCTGTTCTCTGAATTATCTGAGTACTAATTATTTATTAACGCCCTTCCCTTTTCTCTAACCTGTTGGTCATCAGTTACCTCTTTCATTTCTTTGATGAATTGTAAGTTTATTAGGAGGGTATTTTTTATTTTATCTTCACCGTGTGAGTTTCCATCGGCGATGCTGTTTTGTGTTATGCATTCTTTCTCCCTCTCGCTGCTGATACGCTAGAGATAGGATGGGGATAAGTTTAGGACGGACAAGGTAAATTTAGGTTACTTATTATGTAGTTACTTTTACTATATGCCCCTCTGGCTTGGGCGCATGGGTGTTTGTTTTGTAGTTTATTATTTATTGCAGGACGTACATATGATTATGGTACTTTTTGCTGCCGTGGCCGTGGTGGGCCAATGACGCTGTGGTTACTGTTACCCCGGTCCTATTCCTTCATCGATTCAGATTCGTCTTCGAGCGGGCTGCAGGATTGAAGCCGCCCAGGTAGAATGTCTTGTCCGTACCACCGTACCACCGTATCACCGTATCACGAGCTCGGAGCCCAACCCCCCGAAGAGCAATTACCGAGATACTTACTTTTCCCCTTGATACTTTTAAGCACATGTGGGGGATGTATGGCTACATGGAGTAGGTACAGAGCAATCCAATAGAGTTTGCATGTGAAAAGCAATTATTTTTGGTAGAAATAGAGCAAAGCACCGGTACTACTGCAGCCCGTATGCACCCCCGCATCGTTGCATACAACGCATCGAGTAGCTCATATAAAGACCTCCCAAGCTCCTGGAACTTCGTCTACATTCATCTACCTACTGAACTATATCCCATCCAATTGAACAAGCAATTGTACACAAAATGGCGGCACCGGCAACAACCACAATGAAAGACTTGACGGGGAAGTTCTGGATGGTATGTTCAATGAGAAATCAAATTTGTGGTGGAATTGCACTGCTCACGAGTAAGTTACTAACTGACCAATTTGGGGTTATAGAACAAGACCCTTTCGGACGACACTGATGATGTTCTCACATTGGTATTTCTTTCGTCTAAGTTATTGGCGAGTGAATTAGTAGAATTGCCATACTGACTATATGGTGTCCCGCGGTACAGCAAGGCATTAGCTGGTGGACTCGTAAGGGCATCGCTCTTGCGAATCTGTGTCTTGATATTAAACACTACCGAGACGACGATGGTGTCGAGCACATCGACATCGTTCAGACTCTTACTGGTGGTATTCAGGGCACCACTGAGCTCAGGACCCTAGACTGGACGTATGCTCTCCCTCTTTCTGACGGTCTGATAGCAGGACTGATTACGGGCGGGATAGGGAGCGGGAGCATGAGGACCACATCTTCGGAAAACTCAGAGGGAAGAGCAGGCGCGTAAAGCCATCAGGGCTGGATGATGACTTCCTGAAGAAAAACTTCTTGCCTGAAGTTGAGACGGATTGCGCTGTCGAAAGCTATGTCGTTAATGATGCGAATAAGTGGACTGCGCAGCAGGTATGACCGATTTTTTTCTTCTTTTCTTCTTTTCTTTCGAATTTGGGACGTCACTGACTATCTCGGATGGGAATTATAGATCTGGGGATTTGAGACTATCAACGATATTAGATACTACGTCCGCCATCTCAAGTTCACAAAGAATGATACCGACAAGGTACTTTACAAAAGACTGGTGTATGACTGGGCTGATGCTCAATAGACTTCACGTCTGGGTGGCGGGAGTAGGCTCTATTATGAATTCAGTAATGATATCATACTGCACTTTCATTTGTAAACGGATAGTTCATGTATCATTAAGCCTTATCGCCGGATACAAGCATGCTAGTAAAAATAATCTTGATTACGCTTAGTGAATACAGTGCAGTAAAAACAGTATTGAGCAATTTCGTAACTGGTCATCAATAAATAAACACGAACGCAGTAATAGTACAGCTATTATGAGTGGCAACAGTGGTAAGAAACAAAGCAACCTAGAGATTCACATCATACGAAATTCGCGAACTAAAAGATCCTTGCGTGAGTTTGACCGATAGCAAGCGGAAGGAAAGATAGTTGCCGCTGTCTCAGTAGTTGATGACACCGTCAAGAATCCAGATCTCTCCGTTGGGGACGGTTTTAATATCGCGGTGTGCGGCAAGCTTGATTCCGTCGGGATAAATCTATGTCGCAAAAATATTAGAATAAGCATAATACCCAGACACGGTGAAGATATCGGAACATACAATCCTGTCCTTCCCATCCATGTCCCACCAGATCTCCTTCCCCTGAAAGGTCTTTATCTTCTCCCCCTTTAGCCATGGCGAAACGCCGATTAAGTGCGCCTCGACAAAATTCCTCTCATTTCTGCTAGCACGATCCTCTCCCACAAGTCCCTTATATATGTTGCTGAGAACATTCCCACCCGCCCCTTCATCATTTGGATCCTCCCACGGTTTCCTTGGTAGTTTCGAAACGGCAACATTAGACGGCGCCAATACAGTCGTGTTTTCATCAGTATTAGAAAGTCGAGTTGAGATAGACTCAAATTTTCTGGTCAACTCCGCAAAAATATCTATGCTCCTATCTTGGGAGAGCTTATCAGAGAGAAGCAGAGAGCCCGTGGGTTTGTCGCTGCTATACAGAATTTCATGGGACTGGAGAGGAGTCTGGTCGGTGTTGAGTGAAGGCATTTTTTTTTGTGGGCCGCCTTCGTTGGAGTCAAGCGGGTAGAGAAGCTGTGCAGAAGCGAGCGAGTATATAACTGGAAGTAGAGCCAGGGAGAGCTTCATGTTGGGCAAAAAGTTGGCGATGAGTTAGTAGACTTTGTTTGAGGGATTTAACCAGCTGATTGTTGCTGACTTGGTTGTCGGATAGCTGCACCATGTTAAGTGACGTATTTAACATGTTCATTAAGCCCTAAGCCCTGAACCAGCAAAGGATATGCACCAGTTCAGCTCTCTTGCAAGGTACCGACCGACATATCTGCATCCAGGGCCAGTAGAGTACTATCAACGTCCAAACGAGTAATTTCTTATTGGTCTCTAACTGGTTTCCAAATATTAGACATGATCTTAAAATGTCACTCGTGCTACTAAGTTAAAGTTGAAGTTGTCGTTGAGATATGTATATACAGTCGAATCTCCCTATAAGGGTACAAAAGTGGCGCGAAGTCGCACCCTTATAGGCCGTGTACCCTTATACACAGGGTGAATTTGTGCCTACGAAGGCGATTATAGCCCGAGAACCCATACCCTTATAAGTCGATTACCCTTATAAGAGGTACCCTTATAGGGAGATTGGACTGTAGCATATGTAAGCTGGTATGTACCTATATACAGCACCGCATATATATATATATATATATTGACAGATTGGAAGTCATCCTGTGGATATTCTGAAGATGTTAAACCTGAAGCCTTGAGGATAAATTGCAGATCTTGCATAGAAACGGCTCACAAAAACTCTGTAGACACTCCCTGGGGGGATCTACAGACCACATTTGAACGCCTACAAACCTTCAAAAAATATCCACGGGATGGCTTCCATTAAGGGAATAGACTAACCGAACATTTTCCTATTGGTTTAAACTTCCCCTACTCATCAACACCCGGGGGCAACATAGAGTATGTATGTACTGTACCATAGAGTGGTTTTAGTCGGTAGCTGAATATTAGAACGATAAGACAGGGCTTCGATAGGAATATTTGATATTTGTAGCACTAGGCTCGAATCTGTCGAATAGGAGGCCAAGATATATGTATGTGTGGTAAATGTGCCAAATGTGTAACCAATAGCACAATACGCCCCCGCAGTACATACAAAGTTGCGGGGCTATGAGGCTGTGTATGTACTGCGGGGACGTATAAATTCATCATCAACGTTCAATTCCAAGTGTTCACCAAAATCTTTTACGAATAACTACAATGGCCGAAGCAATAGGTCTCGCAGCAAGCTTGGTTGGTCTTATACAACTCACGGGACAGGTGACAGCAATAGGATACACGTATATTAGCGGTGTGAAACGAGCCGCAAACGATCTTCATGAACTTTCTAGGGAGCTAAGCATACTGAACCTGGTTCTCTTTGCCCTTCAAAAATACGTGGACGCAAACCCGCAGTCCTCTATACTACAAGCAATAAATAACAGCGATGGCCCCCTCCAAAAATGCGAATCCGAATTGAAGGTTCTTCTTGCAAAGATGGAGCCCAAGAACGGGTTTAAAGGGGTTCTTAATAGCATAAAATGGCCATTGAAAGAGGCAGAAACAATGCAACACATCGCAAGAATCGAAAGGCAAAAAGGTGTACTCATGCTCGCTTTAGAGACTGACAATATGTGATTCAAAACCCCAAAATTATACCCTTTGTCAATAATTCTAACTTGAGACCTAGGTCTTTGACACAAGAAATACATCAACATGTCCAAAAGACTGATCTCGCCGTCCAGAGGATTCGAAAAATATCAGAAACTTTGAACTCTTGGGCTGATAAACACGACACAATTCAAGCTGGTTGAGATATCTACCTATATGTACATAGTAAGGAGAATTTCTGGCTAACCGTTCGAAAAATAATAGACGAAGATCGAAGGGATGTCTTGGCATGGCTCTACTCAGAAGATTTTGATAGGACACACCTCGAGATTTGCAACGAAAGGCAAAAAGGGACTGGTACATGGCTTTTGGAAGAACCGAGTTTCCAAGAATGGGCAAAAAAGCAACCAGATTTCAACTTACTTTGTGGATATGGTATTCGTATGTCTAGAACCCCATGCCTTTCATAAAAGATGATGGAGCTTTCTTCAATGGACGCAATGCTACAAGTACTGCCATATTCAGGATATCATTTTTTATGATATCAGATATGTATAGTGTTAAATTAGAGAGGTTAATTCTCGAGACCACTAAGTGTAGGTACCTCTATTCAAATTGATAGATTGGTAACCAAGTTTAGTGATTCATGATCAATGGACTAGACTTGGATATTGGTGTATTATGAATTATCGCCACTTATTGGTCTCTAGATGCCTCGGGAAGAGAGATTGGGCGATACCACGAGGCAAGCTGGCCATAAAGTTAAAGCCCCTATGTTTCGTGGATTGTATTGCAATGCTTCCATTGAACAAGCTAGATACTCATCTACACTTTAGTTTACACGATGCTGACAGTCGCCATATTTCAATAGCCGGAGCAGGGAAAACATTTTTAAGGTAAATCAATCCTAGTACACCTTTCTCCATTCGCAACTGACAAATAAATAAATAAAAAAAGCTCTGTGGTAATTGACCATTTAGAGGTCCGGGCTCCAACAGAAATGTTTGGGGTCGCATATTTCTACTTCAACTTCAAAGAACAGTGCCAAGGGCCCACTCAGTTTCTCGCCAGCCTTGTAAAACAATTAACCTGTAAACTGCCAAAGCTTCCCTCGGAGGTCGACAAGCTTTACAAAGAATTGGTCAAAGAGGCAAAAAGGCCGAGTTTAGATCAGTTAAACGCCCTTCTTCGTGAAGTTTCAAAAAACTTTGCCCAGGTCTTTATTATCGTTGATGCATTGGACGAATGTGCTCAAGAGCAAAGAAATATTCTTCTTCCATTGTTTCATCGTCTTGGGCAGGACGGGTTCAATATATTCCTAACTAGTCGTCCGCATCCTGAAGATATCCAGGAGTCTTTTCGTAACGTCAAAAAAATAATCATTTCCGCAAGAGACCAGGACATCAGGCTCTTTATTAATCAGAAGATCGAAGGAAATACACGAGCAAGGCGCCTTGTTCGACAAGCGGGGTTACAAGATAGGATTATCGATGATATAGTTGGTTTTGCAAATGGAATGTAAGTAGATTATATCCCAGATATCCACGATGGGCCTTAATTGTACAACATAGGTTTCTGCTTGTCCGTTTTCACGTTGAATTCATCTGCCAGCAGGTCTCCGCGAAACAAGTGTTAAAGGCACTTGCATCTCTCAAAATGGCCCCAAAGAAGAACCCACTTGACCCTACCTACGAACGGATAGTGAATTCCATTCGTGAACAGCAACAGAGCAATATGGAATTAGCATTGTCGATACTTTCTTGGATTATCAAAGCTCGACGGATATTGCGGCTTAATGAATTGCAAACGGCGATATCTGTGGAACCAGAAACATATGAGCTTGACGAGCTCAACTTACCAGATAAGGACATCATACTTGATATCTGTGGGGGGCTAGTAACAGTAGATGAAAGCGATAATGTTCGTTTTGTTCACTATACAGTCCAGGAATATCTTGTGAATAATCACATTATTCCCGAAGACTCAGATCTAACAACCGCGCTGACTTGTATCACCTACTTGTCCTTTGATGTCTTTGCCAACAATTGCAATGGAGACTCCGTCTCTCCCTATAAGCTTCGACTAATATATCCTTTCCTTGGATATGCGTCCAGATACTTATATTCCCACCTACGCTCTTGTGATGAGAATTTGACGGCAGATGCGCTCGTTTATCATCTTGAAAAGCAGGGTCGCAGTTTATCCTACTTGTATTATGCTCTTCACGAAGAAGTATCCCCATTGCAAATGGCAGCTAAACTCGGACACTGCCTTGCATTCCAAATGTTATTAGATAATGGTCACAATATTTCAATTTGTGACGGTGACGGCAACACGGTATTGCACTATGTCGCAATGGCACAAAGTAAGGAAATGGCCAAATTTTTATTAAATAAAAAGGAGGTTTCTATCACGGCCCGGGATGATAATGGGCGTTCACCATTGATGGTTGCGGTACTTCGAGGAAATGATGAAATTGCACGTATCTTGATTGATCATGGAGCAGACATCTTTGACCAAGACTTCTATGGAACAACAGTAACCGGTCTCGCTGCTAGCAACGGACATTGCGCGTTAATGCAACTACTGATTGAACGTGGCGTCGACCCGACTGAGGGATCTGATTCATGCTGGTCCCCGTTCGAATCGGCAATTTTGACTGGCCATGAAAAGGTTGTCGAGTTACTGATTCAACGTATCAACTTCGCCGATCTTCCACTTCGGCCCGATTCCCTCTTGATTGATGCCATAGAATTTGGTTACCGCGGGATTGCAAGAATATTAATCGAAAAAGGTTATGACCTGTCGTCCCAAAACAGGGAGGGTAGCACAGCACTTCATTGGGCTGTATTTAGTGGTTGGGAAGACATTGTGAGGTTGATGTTGGAGAGAGGTGCTGACATATCAGTAAGGAGTACCAGTACACGTCTTTTATTCAGTAATATCACAAAAAGAGACAATCATATCATGTTCGGGAAAACAGCACTAGAAATAGCAATTTCCGAGGGGCATGAGCCAATAGCGGCAATATTGGAAGCAAAGATGAAGGATTTGACGGGGGATGGACCCATACAGCAAGAAGAAGACATTGTTCCTATACTCGATTCTCAATACATGTAGGTAACCCCCGTATATACGCCTATTTGACCAAACCAGGATATGCTGACATGGAGCGGGTGTGGATTCAGAGATGAATACATACTATCAATAAAATATATGCTCAAAGCTATATAGAATTCTTAAATAGCGAGGGAGGATAAACGGGGAGGCATTTGGACAAATAAAAACTGCGATCGATTTTGGAAGATCGTGTGGTACTACATGTACGTTTTTAGATCTAGGTACTAAGCTCAAGAACGCGTGTAAAAGCCCAGAATCCAAGTGTACTAGATGGCTTTTAAGACGAGTTTGCGGGCCGATGTAATCTTATGATAGATTTACCCAGAAGAACAACGCTCGTTATTCTGGATTGTAATATACCTCGTCTGGGACATGATGAACTCTTATCCTTTCTGAATCCTACATGATGCGAGTCTATGTTCTCTCCGGGAAGGGGATGATTGATAATATAAGACTATAGCTAACAATCGGACGCAATACGTTGACAGAGAGAGACACTGAGAGCGAGAACATTAGTTCAGTCTCATTGGATCGAGTGATTACCTGTGCGCCAAGCCAACGAAGGGTAATGCCCGTTAGCATTTACGTATAAGAGGAGTGGCTATATACTTATACATATATAAAGATCGAGGTAGTAGAGAGATGCTAGCTTATGTAGATAGGTGGTCACAACTAGGTGAGCACACGTATTGTACATACTAAGCTATGTAGTATGAAAAGGAGAGATTCTACTCATAAACCTCCTCCAATCATGATCATCTCAAATATAAACAATTCAAGAAACTCCTATAATATGTATTCTAGCGCTCATCTTCCGGGCTGGGCCTCCTGGGATATATCCTATCAAAACCAACGATACGAGTCACTAATTGCAACCTGGGAACCTACATCTAGACGAACATAGTTGCAGTAGAGCACACCCCCATGAGAACCTAATCCGAGCCACACCAAACCAAACGACCATACACATAGGGGGCTGTAACCTATGCGAGTGATAGTTCGTGATTTTGCTGACCCAGGTACGTTTCCACCAGCGATGACCGGCCAACAACGTTACAAGCCCATAACCAACAATCAGTCAGTCACAACTTCGAAATCGACACAATTTTGGCAGAGGACTGGGGTGTTTCAGAGGAGTCGTACTGTATGTATCCGCTTCCCTAGAAATCTTACAACGATCTCTCACATTCACCTCAGGCTCAGTTGTACCGGAGATCGGCTATGTCATATTACATGCATCAGCGCTAGACAATCTAGTCAGGGCGGTATCTGCTATTGAAAATACAACTAGATCATTGATCACAGGAGCCGGTTCCGGGCCTGCGTACCCCAGGAGGATGTATTATCCTAAGCCCTCCGAGATCGAGAGCGCCTATTGTGCGGGGTGTCTATATATATCGCTCGCTCTTTACTTATGCTGGATATCGGAATACTGATGATGTTACATATCTCTGGCATTACAGCTATCATGGCTATCCTTAGCTAGGCGCCGCCCATAATCACGCCGCCCTGGTGTTGGATGAATTCTGAATTCCTGATATGGCACACCCGATACAGCTACAGCGACGGGGTTGATTGATTGATTGATAATTCATTATAGCTACAGCAGGGTTATTATGAGGGGTCGGGATTCGAAGGGGAATAGCCGCTAACGTTTGTGATGGTTATCGTAGACGTCCACCTCATTTGGCCGAGATGGTGTTTTCAACACTACATTAGCATAGTGTATCAAGAATTTTCCACATCCCGATGTGTTTTAGCCAGCTCTTCAACACTAAACCACCGTTCATATAAACACAGGCCCCGAAGAACTCCCGAAGATATCTACAAACCGGTTTTAAGCCAGCGCGGTAGACTAGGCATTAGGCTTGATTTGCATTTATATAATTATACTCACAACTCTATATACAGCAGCTGCAGAGCGGTGGTAGGATCGGCGCCGAGGAGTGGTTGGTTTGGCTACATGTACGGCCAGCTCGGCAGTGCTGTGCTGTGCTCGTACGACCTACTCCTACACATGCCTAGCTCATATCTAGAGCTTTACTCTAAAATCTAGAGTAACCATAATCTTTGCCTTCGGCCGCGGGGGCTTGCTAGACCCCGACTTAGTTAACTTGCATGCGAGTGACAGCATATGATCCAAGACACATCAATAGGGCTAGGGTTTATTTCTTGGGCGGATGACACCGCCATACATTAATTGATCAAGTCCGCTGGATATTCCAGAACCCGGAAAATACTGATCTAAAGCGATTTGAAGGGTGCCAGCTGTGGTTACACCCCAGAACCAGGCGAATTCCCCGTCATGCCGGCGTAGCTCACAGCCCTTGAAGGTTGGGGCTCTTTGGTTTCTTGGCAGCGGTAGATAAATGATAAATCCCACCGCATATCCTCACCCCACCGGCTGCAGAAGCAATTGCGATTGCGATCATTCACAGGGCATCACAGAGGACCCAGCAGCACAGATACGATAGAAAGGTAAAGCGATACACACCTCTCTCTATACCCTCAAACCCAACTGACAATCTGCAGACCACTACCATGTCCGCCGCCCTCCACCTCCTCCGCCGGCCCCTCCTGCGGGTCCCCTCCCTCCCCACCACCACCCTCCCCCTCCGCCGCCACGCCTCCACGCCCCCCAAAGTCCTAGCCAAACCAAGCAAATACACACCCCCCTCGCACCCCTCCGCCCCGCGCTCTCGCGACCCCCTAAACTACCCCGGGCCCCCACAACCCCCCCGCGACCCCACCCGCCGCTACCCAAACACAATGCCGCCGCCCAACACGTTCGCGCACACCATCCTCACATCACGCGTGCTACACTTCTACGTCTCCATGGGCATCCTCATCACGCTCGCGGCCACCGTGTCCATCCGCAACTTCCTGGCGACGTCGCCGTTTGCGGCCAATGTGCGCTGGGAGTGGCTGCACCCCTACGAGAGCACACAGCTGTTTCTGGTGGCCGTGCGCGAGCATACGGAGGACCAAAGCCGGCGCGTGGCGGAGATGCGAAGGAGGAAGGTGGAAGATGTCGAGTTGAGGGGCGAGTACAGGAAGGCGCATGGGCTGGAGAAGACCGGTAATGAGGGAGGATTTGGAGGGTGGGGGGTGAAGAAGAGTGGTAGGGAGCCAGTGGCACCAGTGGTGCAGGAGAGTAAGGGGGATTGGGTGGAGGAGCAGATCAGGAGGGCGGAGGAGGAGGCGGCGGCGTTGGTGGAAGGGGCGGAGAGGGAGAAGGCGGCGGTGGAGAAGGGAGAGGCAGGGCCAGAGACGGTGGTGGCGGTGGTGGAGACGCCGGCGAAGGAGAAGAAGGGGTGGTGGTAGGTTTGTTGTGGTGGCTTGGTAGGTCCGTTTTATGTAAATAGTGAATGGCAGGTAGCAATTGTTGATATGGGTTTTTTTTTTTGGTTTCACCGCTTCTTCTCTTTTTTCTTCTTCCTCCTCCTTCTCCTCTCTTCTCTCTTCCCTACTCCCGTACATCCCACAACCCACTCCTCCCTTTTCATCTCCTCCCTGCAAAGACGAGATTATATCAACCCACCCTCTCCCCCCTAATAAGATATCCTGCTAAGTGTATCATTGACGCTGCACCACGTTACCCCACTCTCCCGCACAAGTCTCGCCACAGCAAGCTGTATATAACTACAACTATACCATACCATACCCACCGCCCACAGCAGAAATGACGTTATAACGCCAGTTGGTTGGCTAGTTGGTGGACGGCAACCCGCCCGAATGACAGTTCATGACCCTGCATGCATCGAGTGACATGACTTGCTTGCTTGCCTACCTGTCTGCTTTCCTGCTTTTCTGCTTTCCTGCTTTCCTGCTTGCGGGCCGGCACATTCTCGAGATCTCGCCGGTGCGGCCGCAAAAAGAAAAACAGGAATGAAAGGATGAAAAGGGGGGGGGGGGGGGTTGATACGCTGGCATTGAAACGGAACGAAACGTTGGATTCCACCACATGTACATGTGCATCAATTCTATGGCGGCAGCAGCTAAGTAGATCGATGTCTCTCTCTGGCCGCATGTATTCTCGATCGACCCTCGTGGGCATGGCACAGGGTAGTTATAGTACATATACGGGACGCTTTATACTCGTTCGCTGGCTGACGACTTAATTGATCAGTCCAGTCCAGTCCAGTCCAGTAGTGTCCGTTGTATACCATATATCGTGCCACTAATTAAGCCCATTGAATCACCGGCTTAGCTGGCCAGCCAACCATTCGCTCACCCGCTACTTCAGCAGTCTGGGTCTATAGTACACATGCAACCCGTGGTACATTAAACGGCGATCTAGCAAGAGGGAGGGCCAACCGCGGATAGTTGCCTGAGAGCCACCTCAGACGGGAGGAACATATAATATAAACTTTTTAATTAACGACCATGTTGATATATGGAGCTAGCTAGCTGGCTGAAACAAACTTTCTCTTTCCCCTCACTCCCCACACATTTGCTGAATCCACCTGTGGCTGTAGTCGAGCTTTCGAAACCCCATCCCTAGCTCCAAACTTATCCACACATCCACACATCCACAATTCACAATCCACAAAAGATACCAACCATCAACCATCAACCATCAACCATCGAGCACAAACGCATAAAACGGAAACGATGAAGTTCTCGGTCATCGCATCCTTCCTCCTCTTCGTAGCTAAAGCTATCTCGCAGGATGCCACCGCTCCTGAGCCCAAAGTGAACTGTCCACAGAACTCACTTTATGGCGAAGAAAGCACAAAGTTTATACTGACTACCGTGGCCGCTGACATCTACCCTCACTTTGGGGACTTTTACTCTGAAAGCTGTAAGCCCCCCCTCCTGTACGCCTGCTCTTCCCTGGGCCCCACTAACATCCCACTACAGGGCCCAATATTCTGTTTGCGCCTGACAACTTCACCTTCACACCTCCAACTCGCACCATTGTCTTCAACGGTGGCAACAACACACTCTCTGAGTATCTCCTCCTAAACAGCAGCACCGTGGACTCGTTCATGCTCCGCTGGGAGCTCTCCTCAGAGCCCTTCAAGCCAACTGGTAGATTCGACGTCGTCTACTACCAGCAGTCCATCAACGTTTATCCTGTCTGTGACGGTGGTCTCCTCTCTTCTGTCGTTTGGAGAACTAGGGCGTGCATCTATGGAGACCCGGGAATCGGCATTACATGGTTCAAAGAGCGCCATAACCAGGCGATTGCAAACATCTTCTCAGGCATTGAGGGTGGGTGGATGGGAGGGCCGGAGACGACTGTCGGAAACTGCTACGGGCTGAACAACACGTCCGAAACAAACGAAACTGAGACCGAGACCGAGAAGGATATCCTGGGGCCGAACGGAGTGGCCATTTACACCCCTGTTCCGGAATTGAACAGCGCTGGGATCAAGAGCTACATGTTTCGTGGGGGTGACCTTGCTGCGGTACTTGTGCTGGCAGCGGGGACTGTTATCTGGCTAGGGTAGATGCATTAATAGTGTGTGCAAGTTGTTAGAAGGGAAAAATAAAAGGTGTATTTCTTTTGTGTAGTAATAAAAATTTAAGTACTTGCTGCCTTTTCCCCCCTCACCAACATGGTTCCGAGAATTACACACGTGCTTACTATGATCTCATGCGGCGTGTAATCACAAGGGTCGATACTCGGGTACCTGCAGGATCTTGTCTATTGATAGGTGTATGCACTCTTGAGCGAGGTATTCGGAACCCTCAAGTCCCTTAGAATTTCGATGTGACTCGGGTGTAGATAATACATATGAAGGTATATGGTAGTTTGAAGCGGGTGGCGAAATTGCTTGTAGCAATGTGATGCGTTACAAGAAAACGATTCTTAAAACATGAGAAATGAATCTCCGATGCGGTGGTGGTTCCCAGATTGTAAAGATATATGGTGATAGGATATAGATGAAGCCTGTATCTGTAGCAGAATGGTGTATCTTGAAGTCGGTCCTCCAGGAGAAGTGTACGAAAAATAGTAAGGAGAGGTCGGACCTAATCAGTGAATAACACACCCTGAAAGAAGCTGCTACGTATATGAAGTGAATTATCGAGCCACGTACGAATTTGACAGGAAATGAAGAAAAACAGGGAAAAGTAGCTACATCGTCATCAGCGCTGCAATACAATGAAGCACGCAGACGCAGTGTGACCACCTTAAAACCTGTTTTTTTACGTGCTGCATATATTTTTCTTATGTACATGTAGTACTTTGCACAAAATACAAGCTTTGGGGAGTACTTGTGCGTGAATTGGGCTATGTTGGAAGATTGGCGATGGGTGGTGTGGGCCGAGTGATGGATGGTGAATGTCAATATAATTTAGTCTTCCGGGACATTACTTAGATTCAAAAACTATATCTGGTAGTACTCGCGTCGGAATCCAATCAATGGAGTTGATGAAGTACATATAATCAATAACCGGGTCCATAGATTAGAGTATACATATCCGAACTTCATTTTCTCAGTGGCATAAATATAATCCAAAAAGCTTTCGGTGGGGGTATCTGCACGTACAAAAAGAAATTCTTTTTTTTAGGCCCAATCTGTAACACATTTCAAAGTTTCTACACTAGAAATCTCTTATCTTCCTCCTGTCAGGTCATATATCTAAATATATTCACACATAAACCCTACCATTCTTCTCATAAACTACATGTAGCATCTGATGCCGTCCATGCTGTCAAACTCCGCAACATCTAAACTCTCTTTCTATCTTGTGAAATTATGGATAATATTGTCACGCTGCTCCCTCTTTTAGTTGAATGTACGAGTCTAGCATTATAACTACACGTGCTTTGGGTGTAACTGGTGGACGGCCATTCGCCTTTTAGCTGGCACATAATGGAAAGGAATAGGGTCTTAAAAACAGTCTCTCGTAAGTCAGGTCAAACGAGAGGCGCGAGCGCACATGGAGAAGTTGGTTGGGATAATGACGTGTGGGGGTGGAGATGATGAAAGGAAAGGAAAGAACTGGCAATACAGTAATTTACGCGTTTGATAAAAGTATAACCGTTCTATGTCTAGCTTCCTACATCTCCTGTATTTTGCCCACATCACCCATAATCCGTGCATCAACCATCAATCATCATCCTTCAATTCCTTGCTGATCATCGCCTCGCACACGCTACCTGATCTATACTGAGTACAACCCCACAATCAGTTCCGTTTGCTTAGTAGTGATCACGATGGAACATACTAAGTGCGGACTCTGGCACCGCTGCGGGTAAGCACCGACCGTTTGAGCTGTATTTTAAACCTGGGACAGTTTCTCGATGACATCTCCGAACAATACGAGGAACATGAGCCAACAAGGCCCCACCAGACGGAACTCTATTCCTGCCACGGATTTCTTAGGGCTTACGATACTTTTGTTCAATAGTATCACTTTGGCACTAGTTCACCCCAACTAACTTAAAGAAGGTCGCTTGCTAAAACATTTCAATAGTTATATTAGGCGTTAATAAGCGCACCATCAAACGCCCAGAGCACGCGGTAAATCCTGTGCGGAATCCCCGAACCCATTTGCAAAACCCGTCACTTCCTTTAAAGGGCAAAAAATGGAAGGTCTGAGAAATTATGCAAGATTATAACCCAATTCCAGCGTAGTTACGGCCTCCTGGCCCAATTAGGCCGTGGATGGTATGAGACATTCCTTCTCTTGGAGGGGTTCAGTTATTCGGCAACGGCTCCGAAGCAGTAGCCGAATATTACACAAACCCAACATCGACACCAGAATCATGCGGACTGTTCAGGGGCCCGTAGATCTAGCTGTCTCGAAGTCAAGTGTTTCTTTCCCGCCCTACCGAAGATTGACATTGTAAAATCATCTGAGAATGTTTCTCTAGCTGGAGACACATACACAGTAGGTAGCTGGCGCACACAACGGTTTCCGTGCTTATGTCTCAGTGATTTCCTTGATAGGTCTCAAAATCCACAGAGATGACAAACAACTCATTAGATGGTATGGTCGAGTGATCCACCATGACTACTAATAACCCCGGCGAATACTGCACCCAGCAACCCGGTTGGTCTTTAGTACTTTACCCAATCCATGGATTGGAACTTCCCCTTTCTCGTTGGAACTATGATTGAACCAATCAACCATGCCCTTTATGTGGGACTGTCTTGATTATCATTGCCTTTCCCATAGCCGGCGGGGAACAATTACATGTGGGCACGAGTCCCATAAGATGAACCTCAAATCTTCAACCTGCGTATGTGTTTGCTTTGGCCGTTACTCTCATACTTCTGTACCTACGCGACCCGCGGAGATTAACATCGAGTTTTAGAATTCCCAGATGGTAATAAGGGTGCTTTCCCCACCGTGCAGACCACTTAGCACGTGATGTACTGATCTCCTCGGATGAAGGGCATATGTATATGTAAGGAGAATTATAGGCGGGGGTCATCAACCATCACTCACACCCGTTGCAGTCCAGTATAGACCCTCTCTCACCGACAATCCATGCAAATACACCAAAAAGATCTGCAATCGTGCCTGACTGAGGAGTTGGTTGAATGGTTCGAACTTGACTAATTGACGCAACTAAAACTTCAATTTCGCTGCCTGCCTTGTGGGCATGTTACTACCAGTACCCATACCTTAACTGATATCTGCATATTTTAATTTCCCCTGAAGATTGTCAATATTGTATGAACAGAGGTATTGTATTTAGTTACTACGGGCACATATGCATAGGACCGTTGAAATTCTCCCAGGAACACATCGAAAGATCCAGGTATATATAGTGAGACAGATAGAACACACACATGAACGCCTCACCATTGCTTCTTCTTAACCATCTACTATGTATACTCTACTCAGGGTACATACTCGGTAACATATTACGTTAGCAGTCCCTGCAACAAGGATGGATTCAGGGGCCAGAGGAATTTTTCCTCTCTTCTCCAAGAATTATTGCAGCACAACAGTCATAATCATATATTGCTGTCGAATAACAGTGTTCCCACGTAATCAGTGGGCCCCCTGTGTCACTATCAAAACCCTCTAATGCGGATCGAGCGCACACGACAGAAAAGGCAGAAGTAAAAAAGAAAAGAAAAGAGCGAGAGAGAAAAGCTTAGCTAGCATACGAATGGTTCCGGAACTACCTAGATTTCCAACTGGCACCACCATCGTTATTATTCCCCCGGGAGAAGGGGAGTTTATTTATTACTTATCGGCCTCGTAAAAGTAAGCCGCCACAACTGATATAGTGGGCAGGTCAGGGGGTTGTACTTTCCTATTCTTCTAGAAAACACGAAACCGAACCGTGGAAATAAGAAAAAAATCATTTATCCCACGAGGATGGGTGGCGAAACGCACGTCAGTTATTTTTCTTTATTTCTTTTTTTTTCTTCCCTACACACCGGCCCCTCCGTGTCGTTACGCAACCGAGGGAGTTATGTATGACGTTTTGGGTATTAGAGTCCCTGGCTTGCAAGCTGTGTGGTTCGAGAAAAAACTCCCCCATATGCAAAAAAGAAGCCACAGGGGAAGTGATTCGCACGACCAGACAAAGGTTTGTCTTATGCATCTGCCATAACTCCATCTGGTAAGTGTGATGATAAACAAAGTTGACAACTTGTTTCAAAGGAACAAATCAATAAAGACTTTCGTTATCACGGTTCACATGAGCGTCCAATAATAAAAGCACCTAAAGCCACCCGTACTATTTAGGGTTGGCCCTTGGTCCGCCGGAGTTTAATCGGGTTGCCGGAAAGTAGAAACCGAGAAATAGCTGCTCTACTTGCATGGGGGGGGACGGCGGTAGCGGCCATTGATTACGTGCTATGTGCACATACCCACAATATGTATGGACGTTTTCTCTCTCTTTATCACGCTTGTATTATGCATGTAGGATAAGGCTAGATACAAGATAGTTATAATGCACGCTCCGATGCGAAAACCCCGGACCGAAAAAAATTCAATAAAAATTAATCATAAGGAAATTGATCTGCTATAGTAATCTCCCATACTTTTTTTTTTATCCCTGGAATGCCAGAGAAATTGATTAATACTGGGAGTTTTCTGTATCCATGAAATAATGCCGAATATTGGGAAAGGGGTTGTAGGTAGATATTGTAATGAGAGGATCCTCCTCCTCGGGTTCCACGCCGTAAAAATAATCATAAAAACCATGAACTTTTGATCATTACCACACATCCAGTCTCCAATTATGGCGTTCAGTCCGCTTAAGCCGATCCTTCTTCTTTTTTCAAATCAATTGGCGGCCACCAATTGAGCCTCTTATAGCTCTCGATGATCTGTAGTAGGCCCTCCTCCGTGACCTTTGGAACATCATACTTGAATCCTGTAACAGCCTCAAATCTGCTACCATCGAGGCTGAAGTCGTCGTCCTTCACCAACTCGTTCTCCAGGTATGGGTTGATCGGGCCGGGCCTCGTAATCCCCGCCTCATTGAGCAGGTCACCCCACGGCTGCAGCACCTCGTCGTTCTCCTCGTCTA